GAAGAGCAGCAAATGGCACCATGAACAGAGGACCGTCAGGGATGATGATCACCTCGTCGTGGGTCAGCTGGTTAATTACTGGAGAGAGAAGTCTACGGGAAAGCACTTCGAGAGGCTCGATATCATCTTCATCGTCCGCGGAAGCGCACCATCTGTCAACCTGTCGAAAAACTGTGAGGGCAGTTTCTCTGAGATTTGAAGACTTTGTAGCGGCAGCTGCAGGCTCCCCGTTTTCATGGTCTAGTAAGTTTATCGATTGTTCATCGCATTTCATCCCTTCTCTAAGACGCATCTGGCGAAAACTGTTGTCAACGAGATATTGAAAATATCCCGTATTCAAGTTTGTTTTATCATATTCAGACAGTCTCAACACAATTGTTGCCAAAGCTTTGATGCTTTCCATTTCATCATAATAGAATGTTGATGGACTTTTGGTTGATATGACCCAGCAATTATAAGTTACCTTGTTGTTGTGAAGATTGTAAAACAGAATGGCTTCTTTATATGAAGAAATTCTTTTGACATCTGCAAATTCCGGTTCTTGTGATTCTGTTTTCTCAGTTGTGTTATATTTAGGGTACAAGAGATCTCCCAAAGCACATGCTCGTCCACGTTCACATACCATGAGCGCTTCTTCGATTTGTCCAGATTTAATGTGGACTTGGCTGAGGATCTTGTAGGTTTCGATGAATGTATCGACGATTGAAACCTTGAATTGGTCATTGTCTTTTAAATCATCAAACAATTTCTCGAAGCACTGTGTGCTTTTCTCTAGGTGTTCTTTTGATTTGCTGAGATCTTTAATAATCGATTCTTCCTCATATGCAACACCTTAAATAAAAAGACGATTACTTTAGAATTAGACTTATTCACTTTTAAGATTTTGAGACTAAAATTTAATACTTCTGATTTAAGTATTTAGTATTACATAATGATAATATATATTTGAGCGCATGTTTGCATCAGATTTTTTTTATAGTCATTTTCAGCCGTCTGTGAAACAATTACTACTAGTCAGTATCAAAATGTAAATTATAAAAAAAACTACTAGTCAGTGTTTAATAGTAACTATAAGGGTGTAATAAGCTACCAAAAGGCAAAGTTAAAACCTTTTTTGCCTAATTTGTTTGTCGGATGTCATAAGTTAAACTATTAGGAACTAATAGGGAGTAATAGTATTTCATAGTAAAATTCCTATTTCACAAATTGGCAAATTGGTGCGGCCGATACGAATTCGTCTAATTGTAAATGTATCAATATATTTTCTGTTAGGCTTTATAAATTACTAAGAACACATTTCGAGCGTATATATCGTACCTATATTATGATGAGAAATGGCTTGTCCTTGTCTGTCACCAATCTCTTTAGCTATGCTCAGTTTCTTTTCGTGATATTCAATCGCCTTGTGATATTCTCCTAATGAATGATAGGCAATCCCTAAATTTCCATAATCAGTTCCTTCTCCCTGTCTGTCACCANATACTCCCGATCATTCCGATTGGTCGATTCAATAAACCATGACGTCAACACAGAACGACATGAAAGTCTACGAAGGCGACGAAGGCATGAAATATCAAGCATACTTTCTAATATGATCGTTCTCTTCCGAGTTATTTATTTTTTCTGTGTACATTGTAGAAAATACTTTTGTAGAGACAAATCAAGATATTTTTGAGAATTTTTTTTACTGTGTTCGAACTTCAATAGAATTCTAGGTATGCATTTTGGTCGGCACAGTGGGCTATTACATCGACAGTAATATCATTCTACGTGTACATGTTTTAGAAAGAAAATTATATGGAATTAAAGCCGGCCTCAAGGCAGCCAGAAAAAGAAGGAAGATGTTTCAGATTTGCCTAGTACTTTGACTAATCAAGAATGAAAACGTTTGTGTTTTGAAACTGAAAATCAAAATTCAAATTCAATTGAGTTAACGTGAACTTTTTACGACGAGGGTTCTCCGCAATTCTGTTTTAAAAAAACTAACAAGTAGCCTTGTTTACAATAGAGAACTTCAAGATGGAATCATAGTTAGTAGTAAACTATGATTAAATGTAGTGAAGCGTGAGTTATTTCCTCAGGCTGTGTTAGTGACAATGTTTACTCCAGGGGAGTGGGGTTGAAAACGAAAAAATTAGTCGTGAGTCGTCAAATTGCCAAATTTTTAGTCGTGAATCGTGATGCGTACTACCCCATTGAGACCCTGTTGACTGTCATTATCAATATCTTAATAAGATTGTATTAAATCATTTAAAAAATACTATCATTCAAGTCCACACAATATTATTAGGACTGCGCAATACCAATCGGCAGGGGGGTTGAATAATGAGCCAAAACATCAAAAAAGTTAACTACTCAGTAATGTTTTTCGCCTGTAAAACTATAGATAAATAATTATAAGATAAAAGTTGTTAATATAATCTAAAAAATATCTTGAAAACATTTGATTCCTTTAGACCGTTGCAGTAGCATCCGCATCCAGCATTGTTTACCAAATATCACCCATATTCAATCGCAAATAATTCAGTAACTACAGGCTGAAACAACTCCCAGCTAAACCTCACAAATTATATACGAAGTTTTGAATGCTATGAAATGATATGAATGTTATATTTCACTAGTACGATTCATGAATAAATCTTTTGGAAGTCGAGACAAGTCATTTTGCCTGAATTATCAAGTGGTTGAAAACGACGAATTGATGTTATTTCTTACCTTATCGTTCAGTCAGAATCAGAGTGACTATTAGAGTAGATGAATTGCATCAAATGAATACCCTAAAATAAGANAATGGTTAACTATGATTGAATGTAGTCAAGCGTGAGTTATCTCCTCAGGCTGTGTTATGACAATATTTACTCCAGGGGAGTGGGGTTGAAAACGTTGTTTTCATTTCAAAAATATCTGAAAGAAATCTAGTTAATTGTGAATCGAAAAAATTAGTCGTGAGTCGTGAAATAGCCAAATTTTTAGCCTTGAGTCGTGATGCGTACTACCCCATTGAGACCCTCTTGACTGCCATCATCAATATCTTGACAAGATTGTATTAAATCATTTAGGAAATACTATCATTTAAGTCCACACAATATACTAACGCAATACTAATCGGGAGGGGGGTTGAGTAATGAGCCAAAGCATCAAAAAAGTTAATTACTACTCAGTAATGTTTTTCGCCTGTAAAACTATAGATAGATAGTTATATGATAAAAGTTGTTTAAAGTATTATCTAAAAAATTCTTGAAAACTTATGATTCCTTTCAACCCTTCCAGTAGCATCCGCATCCTACATTAGTTTACCAAATATCACCCATATCCATATTCAATCGCAAATAATTCAGTAACTACACGCTGAAACAACTCCCAGCTAAACCTCACAAATTATATACAAAGTTTTGAATGCTCTGAAAGGATATGAATGCTATATTTCACTAGTACGATTCATGAATAAATCTTTTGGAAGTCGACACAAGTCATTTTGCCTGAATTATCAAGTGATTGAAAACGACGAACCGATGTTACTTCTTACCTTATCGCTCAGTCAGAATCAGAGTGACTATTAGAGAAGATGAATTGCATCAAATGAATCGAATGAGTTTTTTTTTTACTGTGTTGGAACTTGAATAGAATTCTAGGTATGCATTTTGGTCACAGTGGGCTACATCGACAGTTAATATCATTCTGCGTATACATGTTTTAGAAAGAAAATTATATGGAATTGAAGCCGGTCCCAAGGCAGCCAAAAAAAGAAGGAAGATGTTTCCAAGTCAGTGGCTAGTACTTTGACTAATCAAAAATTTCGCGTTTGTGTTTTGAAAGTCTTTGAAGAAACTGAAAATCAAAATTCAAATTCAATTGAATTAACGTGAACTTTTTATGACGAGGATTTTCCGCAATTTTGGTTTAAAAACTAACAAGTAGAGTGCACGTCACATAAGCATGAAACAATTCTTAATATGTATTGCTAAATAAGATTTAGTTATCAACTMACTAAGAATTCAAAAAAGCATAAACACAATGACAATTATTTAAATTCCTTTGTAGCATTGTTCTCAATTCTTAGTTAGTTGATAACTAAATCTTATTTAGCACTACATAGTTAAGAATTGTTTCATGCTTATGTGACTTGCACTCTAGCCTTGTTTACTTGTGTTTACAATAGAGAACTTCAAGATTGAATCATAGTTAATAGTTATCGTCAACCGTTATCATTTGATTTACAGTCATTAATTATCAGCATTCATATACACTAAACAATCCCTTTGATCTAATTGTAATTTTGACTGTCATCATCAATATCTTGATAAGATTGTATTAAATCATTTAAAAAATACTATCATTAAAGTCCACACAATATTATTAGGACTGCGCAATACTAATCGGGAGGGTGGTTGAGT